ACCATTCTGAAAAATTTATAGCTCTTCACATTCCGAAGCGTTTGCTTCCCTGAAATTTTCAACTCATCTGAAAAAAAATAATATGCATTTTGCAAAAGCATTTGAGGTACTTTCTTCCTCGCAAACACAACAGCGACAGAAGTTTACGAATAGAATCTGTAGGTTTGTCAAAAATGTAAACCACGCCCCGGACGAAGATGGCGAGTAGTCCTCTGTGAAACATTACGCCTTTGCCGCTTTATTTTCGCGATTTTCTTCTTAATCGCACAAGTGCGTTTTTCTTGAAAGCCGGGGCCCGTTTGTTTCTTCGGAATCTAGCAAAAAGGAGAGCAGAAGTCGAAGAGGAAGTCGCTTCAATGAGCACTCAAGTGTAGAATTGTTGCATTACATGTAAGAACTTTGTACTCCAATCTGCAAGCTCTCAAAGTATTTAAGTCGACTCTGCATGAAGCGAAGCTAAAGTTTACACGTGAATGCCTCTGTGCTGGCCAGGAAACAAGGCGGTAGGATTGGTAGGATTCTGAAAAGAGAGTAACTCATTATTAACTCAGGAATTTATAATATAAATGCACCTCTTCAAATAAAAGCTGTGGGATATCAGGAAAGGAGAGGTCAAAATTTTTATTTTATTTATCACAAATACCTTTTCTCAACATTGTATAAACGGCTGCAAAATAGGGTTATGTTATGTAAACTGTAGTAACTTCTGCTGAGAGATTACTCCCGTAGCCTTAACAGAATTGTTTGTGGAAGGCAAGCCCTACAACATTTAAAGCGCGAAATCAAGAGCGTATGACCGACACGGACACAACTTCCTTTCTTAGACTTATATAGCCCTATATCCGTCACATGCGAGCACTTCTTTTAATCGCTTGTATGTAATTAGCTTTGGAGATTTAGATAAAGAAAAATCTCTTGACAGATACTGTAACAAAAAATCTGTTAATCCTTGAGCCAATTTCGCAACTCATGACTAGAGTGTGTCCGTTGCTTGTGACGAAGTGTGTCGAATAACAATTTAACGATGCTTTCGGGGCTTTCAAATCATTTTGCCAATCGACGTGGAGGAAGTCTTTGTTTAATCACACAACAATCATTGAACCCCAGTCGCATTGCCATCAATCAAATTTTGCAATGCTCAAACCGAATTGAATTTTTAAACTATAGTGCTCAAGACTATTTTGTTACCGAAAAGTTAGAAGTCACAAAATCGTATATTTTTCGAATAATGTATCGCAGATGCAAATACTTACTTCGTTCAAGGCTTGATGCTTGATGAAAAAACGCCCAAATTTTTTTTTGATAACATCCTGTGAATTTATGTCTAAACATGTAAATACAAGCCCACGCTATAATCATCGTGCATGATGCTTTTGTGAACTCACAGCAGACAAGGTAAAACAAATTGGCTTTTTGCGCTACAAAAGCGAGCAGCAACTTCCTTTAGTTCTCATAGTTTTCATTTCTTTGGGGCCATTAGATCACATGCGTTTCTGTATGCTTCATGATTCGGAACTCCATTCTGATCATCTTCGTCTGTATATTTGGTTACGGCAAATGTTTCGTTAACGTCTTTCAGCCAGATTTTTAGCCGATTATGATTTCTGAAGTGAATCGTTGATTTGATGACAGTACTTTTATCCAGAGGAGTTATGTGGTGTTTTTTCAATGACGCAAAGAATAATTATTGGATCATCTGTTTAGTGTCATTGAGGATCATTCACGGCAAGCTCCTTAGCGGCTTGCTAATAGATTGCATCGAAAATTTGTTTCGATGACGTCTTAATCATTTTTGCGTCTCTACTGTACAGCACAGGAATAATGTGTGCTCAAACCCTTTGCTATCACTTTGAAGGGCAGTAATCACGTGAGATATAGGTGAATTACTTTACTTTCGGGTTTCTGAGGAAGGCACTGATGCCGAAACGTTAGGCCGAATAAAGTATATATATCATACCTGCTTTGGAAAAGAAAGCTCTGAGATATACTGAACATGCCCAGGTTTTATGAACAGACAGCCTATGAGATAATTCGTGAAGTATAGCCACATTTGTCCTCATTAGTCAAAGAAATCCTAGCACTTCGCCAGAAAGTAACAGTCACGTGACAGCCTCTCATCTTCTTCAGAAGATGCCGTGCCATGACCATTGCTCCGAAATTCATCACAAACAATAGAGCAGGAGTTACATGCAACCTGCCCAGAAGATCATCCAAAAATAAGATAGTTATACCAAAATGTCTCTGCCGTGGTTATCAAGCAGAAATAATATTTGTTATACTCCTCTCTACTCAAATATAAAACGAGGGAAGGAGCATGTAGACGATTAATGAACAACGAAAGCTGGAAGAGGATTAAGAGAAATTCCAAGCCAATCTGCGCTGGTATGCGGTCTAACATCAAATTTACACTTTATAAAAATTCGAGAGACTTTTGAGTGAACAAAATAAAACCCATGAAACACGTTGCGGGCCTGCCACAGAATACAAGATCCGGTCAATTATCAGGTGCATCAACGGCCCAATTGACAGGATATCATGGTTCCTCAACAAAACTGTCGGCCCACTTCTCGAAAAAATTCCCTCCCATCTGATAAACACTAGACATTTTTTGACCGACTGCGACGTAAATTTTGACTCAAAGTGTATAATAGACTCATTACATGTGTCGTCGTTGTACACCAATGTCTTCAACAGCAAAGCACTAGAGGCTCTTTCCGAGATGCTTGATGAGCACAGTGCAAGTATGTCGACGTATGGACTCAATTAGACGCGACTCATAACTCTCGAAGGGGAGTGTCTCAAGTGCAATGTAACAAGTGGTCTGGAGACTTCTATTTACAGGTAAGAGGATGTCAATGGGTCAGCATTAGCGCCCGTGTTGCTAGATGCTTTATGTTTTGCAGTATCAAATCAACAATCCCAGTACATAAAATTCACCATCTCCAGAGAGAGACCAAACGAAGGTTGGTTGCCCTATCTCAATACCCAAATGATGTTGGCTGGTGGCACGGTACGTATATGGTAGCTGTAGACAGCTGTAAGAACATCCTTTTACATGCCAAGTCCGCCCACCCGATTGCCGTTAAGCGTAGTATGTTCCGAACGGCGACTAACATCTGCAGTGGTGAGAGTGAACGACAGAAGTCTCGGATGCTGGCGTCCGCGACAGCAGCCTCAAACGGCTACTGTTCGGACAAGTCTACACGTATTCGACGAGCAACTCAAAATCTGACGACAGACCTAACATAATTCCTCTCTGCTTACCATTCGTCTCAGACGGGGTAACACGCACTACGAAGTCGTTAAATGCGAGCGCAGCTGAAACGTGATGTTGTTCTCGCCAATATACCGCGGAATAACATCAGAAATTAACTCATACGTCATACATTATACGATATCGCCTGCACGTTCAAATGCTGCGTTATTTGCCCTTACGGAAAACAGGGAGACTGTGTAAGAACTGGAGCAGTATACGGGATTGAATGCCTAGACTGCCACGCTACCTATATTGGCGAGACCGGGCGGCCACACTATGTACGCGTACACGAACATCTAACGAGTAAAAGTGAAAGCATAACAGCCCCGTTAGGAAAAAACAAGAAAGTTGATCACTGCGAAAATGTTTTCATGTTGAGTGTACAGTCTTAGCTTTCAAAAGTAGAATATTCGCTCGCAGAGAGTTGGCAGCGTCATTCATTCTATCAAAGGAACCCAAAATGAATGGCAGAAATGAACAATACTCTATCACAAGTGACCTCATGCTTCTACCGTAGTGCCAGCTATAACACCCACATTATATAAGCAGATCCTTACTAGGACTGCCTTCATACTTCCATCATCTGTACGTGAAGCTAAGCACTGCCGTCGCAGCGTGTTGCAGGGCCCGGCAGGAGATTGCATTCCAAGATTTCAAAAACGACATCCCTTTTGAAGCCCAAAATTTTTACGACTTCCTCATTGACCCCCTATTTTTGATCCGTCATTTTGTGACGGAGAGGTACATGCAAACAAAAAGGACTCAGCGCTTACTTTGAACTTCAAAACGCCTCACAAACTTCTCCACTGACTTTGGCAAATTTTGGACTTTTCGCTTGCTCTGCTGTAATCATAACTTTGTTCAGTATGCTTTTCCAAATTCTACAATCTGCATAAATACAGGGTGTCCCAAAAAAATGTATCGAACGTTTAATCGTTAATATCTCTCTTCTAAAGAAGTCTTTTCCCTTGCTTCAGGTACCAATCTGTAGAGCTGGCTTCAACTTAGATTTGCATTATAGAACGAATCACCCATCTTTCTTCATTAATGTAGGATAACGGTAGAAACTTCAAAGAGGGTTTTAAGCAATGAAAGGCCATATTTTGCCCCAGAAAGGAAACAAAACAGCCTGAAAATTTTTACACTAGGCCAATTAGAGTTGCTGATTATAATTGTAAAGCTTCCAATTTATTATGATGCTTCATTGAAGATTTATGCCAGGTAAGAGGTAGCAGCCATTTTTTCAATGTTCGTAAAAAGTGCCTTTACACCGTTTAGAAAGCTTCGTAATCTTGTGAATAGTTGAGTATTGAACTCGGCGTTCATAAAAACCCCAATACACAAATTTTCACATTTTTTTTGAAAATTTTTGAAACGGCAGCTTTTTCCACATTGACACTATGTGTTTCAAGTTTCTACCATGATCCTACAGTAATGAAGAGAGATGGCTGATTCGTTCTATAATGCAAATCCAAGTTGAAACAAGCTCTACAGAACGGTACCTGAAGCAAGGCAAAAGACTTCTTGGGAAGAGAGATATTAACGATCAAACGTTCGATGCATTTTTTGGGACACCCTGTATACATTAGATTCTATTCGAAAGAGCGTGATATCCAAAAAGCACAAAATTTCACAATGAAGCCGAAATTGTCTTTGAAACTGTTCGTAATGTGACGAAAAGTGGAGGCAGAGATAGATAAAAAGTAATATCACTTTATTCAATTCAACAAAAACACAATTCACTAGCATTGAGTTGGGAGAGCCCTAAAAAAATAACGCCAACCAATGTAGCGTCGTTTAAGAGATCAGCTTTACCGTCGCCTCTTTTTGAAAAGAAAACCGAGGCCACATGACTTAACATCGCCGGCTAAACAGCGGGAATTCATTGAAGTTACTTTCTTGTATTCTCACATATCAGTTGAGGTCGAGTGCGGTGATCAGTGGTGTTCTGAAAACATGGTTGAAAAGACTTGTACTCAGGCCTCTTTGCGCTTTCCATTCTTTTGAAACTAACCTATGACATGCTTTGCCAAGATCTTTAAGAGTCACGACTGCGTAAACATATAAGAGACATCACAGCAAGCAATTATAAATTGTCCACTTGAAAGTGAGCAAGAGCCTGCAATAGGATTTCACACGCTCCTATATCTTTGACACAGAAACGGAGAAAGAAATAGAGAGGAGAGAGAGAGAGAGGGAAGGAGTGGTAGGGAGGGAAAGAGAAACTCGTTTACTAAATTCTTGTGTAGAAAAAAAGAGGTATGGGCCACGTTATTTCACTTAACTCTAAATATTTGCTCCATTCCGTTACGTTTCATTACTGGAACACCACGTCGTCGCTAGGGACGATGCTGAAAGATTGCGTGGGATGGACAATAATAGATCTGCAATAGTGACGAAGCTGCCATCTTAAACTATTGGGCAAAAAAGTATGCAGCAACAGTAAATTTGAATGAACCCATATCTGCGCAGCATGTCTGAAGCTGCCTAGCCACTACGACGCTACGTTTTACAAAGAATTTAACAAATTATAGTGCTCAAAATCTTGTATGGTACTGATAGGTAGGTCTCAAGTGAGCTATCGTGCAAACAGCAGCTAAATCATTGGGAAATTTTGTACCCACTTTGGCCCAAATCGTACCTCTTCTGCAAAACCATTATGAGCTGCTGCTTAGACTGATAGCTACTCTCAATCAGCTCCACCTAGGAAGCCCAAGCATTACTTGGCTGAAGGGTCTACGAAAGCCTTCACAAAACAAATGAAATCTTGTCAGGAAATCCGCAAGCAATCAAAGAAAAGTCAGCTAAATGAAAACTTTAGCAAATAACTACTCACCTCGGAGAAAAAGCATACGTAGATTTTTCCAGAAGTGAGCTGCAACGATGAGCTTTGCATCAGTACTTGTGTATGCAACGTAGCAGGGCTCAATTAGCATCTAAAAACTTGATATCACACTTTGTCACTTTCGAATCTGTGAAGAACATAAACAAAACTGAAACTTGTGACAAAGGAAGTCCTAAACATCAAATTTCCCATCATCTTAGTCTAGATAACAGCGTAACAAATCATCCAGCTTCACTTACCAGATTTGGAACAAAAGAACAGACCTCGTTCTTCATTCCATCATTGTGTTCTCCAGCTTTGGACGCCTCTTCAGTTTTTTTTCCTTCTCGCGCAGTGCAGTATAGCCCTGCTTAATTGGAAATCTGAAATGGAAAGATGACAAAGATTGAATTCATCAAAAGAAGGAGTACGAGCATAGCGTTGAAATGTGAAACCAGAATTCAGTATAAAGATTTGAAGTCTTTGCTTTGCCGGTCTAAGTGCCGCGCAATTGGAGCGCGCTTTCCAATTCTTCACATTGCTAAGTGAAGGATTTGTTAGTTTTGGGACAGGATTTGTACTTATAGAAAAATTATCGATTAGGATCTTATTTATGTGAAGAAATCTGAAAAATTATGTGAGAAAAAGCAGGGAGCAACCCCAGGTTGCTCCCAGGTTGCGCGGGAGCAACCTAAATTGGAAAATCTCTTACCATTTCCCAAACTCACATAAATTTTTCATAAATTTTCATACATTTCCTGCGCTCCCTATTGCCTCACTATAGACCAAATTTGGTGCCGTATCGTTACCTGTGCGTTGCAAACGGACCCAATTTGTTATTTTCAACATACCAAAACTCCGTTTTGAGTTCCCGCGCGCTGACGACTTGTTCTTTGGAGCACAAAATCGTAGGTTTTACTGGAGTTTGAGTCAGTGAAGCACGTCAAGAGCGAGAAAAAGCTGAACATATGGAATCCAAGGCATGTGTTTACTTTTAATACCGCTCGTTATTTGTTTGTGTTTTTTTTTTCAACTTTCCAAAGCCAGCAAACATCCGTAATTTGAAGCAAAGCCTAGCTCTTCGAAGCGGATTTCGGATTCTATGACTTCTTCAATAGATTTGATAATAAATTTTTTGCAATGTCATTACTCTCAACAAATTGAGGCCTGGTATGAATTTGCAATCATGAAAACCATCAGAGATCGACCTTTTAGCAGTGGGAGGTATTACATTTACACACCTTTTTGCAGTGGATCCAAGTATTTTTACAGCAAAACTACTTTTTTACAGCCCTTGTGGCGTTATCACACAAATTCACTAAACTTTTAAAAATTTGTGATCGTCCTTCGAAGGACAAGTTTACAGGAATGAGTGAAAATTGCGCAAGTGACTTTTTGCTACTGATGATAATTTCTTAAAGTTCTCGAACATTCGAATTTACTCCCGCCTCGTGAACATCTCTCGAACCTCCACTGATCAGCACATATTAGTGTACAAAGCGACTTGACTTTGGGTTTGAAAGCTTCGATAAGAAGTGTTCTCAAAATAATTTAGTTTTCAAAACTGTTTTGTTTTGAAAGATGCATAAAATTTTTCCTTATTATGTTGGATCTTCCGGATTTTTTCGTAAAGATTGGGAAAACATGACGAAAACAAGTAAGATTTGATTTTTATAAACTGTTTAGAATTGCAATTGTATAAGAATGTAGGAATGAAAAGTAATGTTTGAGAGCAATGTTGATAGATACCACACTGCCCGTGGGCTGCTTACAGACCGGTAATTATTGCAAAAATACTGATATGTAAGCTTCCACAATCCAATATTATAAGAAAAGCTGACCTACAAGGCCGCTAACCTGAATATCATTCTATCAGGATATAACTGTCCGATATGCCGCTTATAGACTGAATTTGCCTTCGTAACTACCTCTATAAACCGATATCAAAAAAGCGTGCTACGCCCATAGACCGATATTAAAAAAATACTCCTCTCCTATGGGCCGCACTGCTCTAACGAACATCATCTACAAACCGATATGTTGAGGAAAGAAAAATGGCTCTAAAAGCAGCTTACAAACCGTTTTTATGAAAAGGACAAACATGGGTCGTTCATAAACCGACCCAACAAACTAATATTTCATGAAGAAACTGCCATTTATCCGCCTTACCATCCACTGCGGATTGAGTCTGCTCTATGGACAGCCAATTGACCAAAGCTTCAAGAAGTTAGTGCCTTTTGAAACCTCTGAAATTCATTAGATCTAGCCACAAACAATTACGAAAGCCTCTTGGTTATTACGGCAACAGTGGTGTTTTAGGCTTGGAAAAAATTTCAAAGGGTACAAAAGATTTTATGCGCGGAAGTGACTTCTGTTGGAAAATTCTGTGAGTCCGCCATCACTGCGACTTACATGCACTGTTCCATACTTGCAAAAATAGCTAACCCTCTTTCACTTCCTTTCACAAAGCACGATTGTATTGTTTTCAAAAGGAATAATTTCCATTTCTTTCGTGATTTCTGTAACTTGGGTGAATTCTGTGACACTTTTCTCAACCACTAAATGCCAGTCAAAATTGAAAGCGATCATAGCCACAAAAAACTCGTATGCATAGAGGGAAAGTGGACGAGCTGAGAGCAACTCCAAAATCACCATTCATTGCAATTTAAAAAACCCATCCAGACAACGCGTTTCGAAATAGCTAAATCATTAGTGCTGGCAAAACGGTCGAAATGGAACCCACGTTTCAAAATCAATCGCAATCACAATTAAATCGTGAAAGAAGGGGAGAGAGGGGAGGGAGGGGGAGGGAATAAGGAGCTGTCGGCGATGTACGAAAGCGTCGTTCCTAGAAAGCTCATCATCATTTGAGTAAATCATGTCAAGTTATGACGAATAGGATACAACAGATACAGATACTGACATGAACAAATGTTGAGAGGATACAAAACTGAGGCTGACATCCAGTAAAGCCGAAGTAGGAACCAGTCGGTAACCCTAACAAGAACTTAGTTATATTCGCCTATTCAAATTGCGAAAGAGGGAGGTGGGCTGTTGTAAACCCAACGAGAGTGTCGGCACAGCCAAAACTATAACCATTTTGCACTCAATCGCCGCATCCCTTTTGAAAACACTTCTCAAAGAGAAGAGTGCTTATCCCTATAGAAACACGCTAGCCTTGTTGATAAATCTTTACTTTCACACCCACCGCAATCAATCGCCTCATTCCATGATTTCTCAACATCTACGTCGTGCAAAATTTTTCCATCCTGTATTATAGATTGATTAGCTGGCATACCCGACTCCGCCCGGCCCTGTGAAAAACGATAAAGGTTCCATTTCTATCCCTGTACACCTTTACCTGTGCCTACTTCTACATGCAATTCCCTATTCCCGCTGTATTAGTAATCAGTATGCTCACATACCTTCCGCACCAACCCCCCAGCGCCGCAGCTCAAACTTTGCAAAAAAAAAACACTGAAATCGATAAAAGTATGGGCAATTCTAAAAACTGATGGCCTTATTCGGCTATCCGGGCTCTAAAACGTGGTGGGTCTTGCTCAAACTCGGTATATGGGGTGGCAGCGGGTAAAAATCATGAACCTGCCTAAAACCTTGGCAGGGAATTACCTAAAGTGCTGTTTCAAGAATATCGTGAACTACGATAATGGCAATCCGTTTGTTATAAAAGTTTCCCACGACCGTAATATTTTCATTACAGGACCACTGCCGCGCGTGATACACCCTCCGGCGGCTTTTGCCTAAGCAAAAACAGGGAGAGGGAGATTTGCCGCGTGCGTTACACGTTAGGACAGGCAGGATGGCGCTGGAGACTGCCATGCAAAATAACCGTTTCCCCTCTCGTGAATATGTGGGATCTAAATCGGCCCAAAAGCAAAAAAATGTCCATTCAAACTCTGCAACTCACCATAACTTCACTAATTCGTTGTGACAGCGAGCAAGCATCATATTCATAGGCAGTCTGCTTGTGAACCGTCACAGGTAAGGTTTTGAGCAAATCTGGAACTTCGACCCATCTACTGTACACCCACCGTAACCCAAGGAAATGCGCTATCCTGCGAAATCCGCATGACATTCATGTCAAGCGCGCTAAATGACCACCCTAGACGAAGTTTAAAGCAAGTCTATGTATTCGACCACATCCCGTATAACCACCATAACTCTATGAAAAGGTTCCAATATGAAGAGAGGGTATGAAATTTGTATTCAGCATGTCGAATAAGTTCTCTGGACCAAACTCCAGCCGAATTCATGATTTTGACTTCCTACCTACACCTACCGTAACCACACGGGGAGACGTTCTGCGGAGAAAGTGTAATATCTGTAATCAGCATGTAGATAACCGTTATACACGAAGTTTGAGCAAGCTCGACAAAAAAATTTTGGAGCCCGGATAGCCGAATAGCCCCAAACTAATATTGTAATCGTAATCAGCATGCTTTACCCACTGTGCCAACTCTCAGCCCAGTAGCTCAAACTTTGCAAAAAAATCGATAAAATCGAAAAAATAATAGACGATTTCAAAAACTAACATCGCATTCGCAATTAGCATGATCGATTCCCCCCTCCTTGCAAACTCCCAGCCCCGTAGCTCAAACTTTGCAAAAAATCGATAAAATCGAGAAAAGTGATCGATAATCCTGAAAACTGTTATTGTATTCGGAATTCTCATGCTCGATTACCCCCCTGTGCAAACTCCCAGCCTCATAGCTCAAACTTTGCAAAAAAAATCGATAAAATCGATGAAAGTAATCGATATTCCTGAAAACTAATATTGTATTCGGAATCCCCATGCACGATTACCTCCCTGTGCCAACTCCCAGCCCCGTAGGTGAACTCAGCAAAAAATCGATAAAAATCGATAAAATCGACATTGATCGATGACGAAAAGTGGACTGTGACACCCGCCGGGACCCGAAGTGTATGTGCGCCAAGTTTGGTCCAGGATCGATTCAGAAATGGAATTTTCTATTCGGAACATACATACATACATACATACATACATACATACATACATACATACATACATACATACATACATACATACATACATACATACATACATACATACATACATACATACATACATACATACATACATACATACATACATACATACATACATACATAGAAAGACAGACAAACAGACATTCAGCTTTATATATAAGATATTACTAATACTTCACGCATAGTAGTGAAAATCAATTTGAGCGCTTATTTTCGCATTGTAATGTAGAGGCAGTCTGCTGGAATTTTGTCGAAGTTTGTAAGGTGATATCTGCCGACAGGTCAGCGCAGAAAATAGTGTACTCTCTTGGAAGGAGAAAGTGCCAGCATTGCAACATAGTTCATCATGCTGAGGTA